GAAGTTCCCTCTTGTTCTCTTTTATATCTTCCATTTCTGTTCTCACTATGTTTATGGTTTAAAAAGTCTTCAGTATATCGAGTATAACATCTTCTTTAATAATGTTATACTAATACCATTTTCCCTGCCATTTCAGTATGGGCCAACTGGTTGATTTTTCCTGGTCTTTTGTCACATTTTTCTACTTCGTCGTATAGATACTGGACATTGTGGAATTTACATTGTTAAATGGTGGTTATTGTTATTCTTTTAAAGTGTTGAGCTTTGCTCTGCAGGCAGTTACATTACTTGCAAGTTGGCTTGATTCTTTTGAAGCTTTTAAAAAGCAGTTTAGGATAGGTCTGAAGTGTTTGCTTTACAGATAGTTTAGCTCTACTCCTAATACAAAACTCTTCTGGGCTACCTAATAAATAGTATGGGTGACCATCCCATCAGGGTCAGAATTAGAACATATCTTTGCTCTGTATCAGCTCTGGGCATTTTCCAACTAGCAGCTCCTTAATTACTCTTTGCCTGGTCTTGTAGGATCACACCCTACTTCTTTTAGGAAAGATTAAAATGTACTCTTTTGTACATTTCTGAAACTCTTCTCTGTATAGCTCCCTCCTCAACATAACTACCCTACAACTTGCAGGCATGTCAGTCTCATGATCCTCATCTTCTCAACACAGTAACAGCAGGATGCTCTATTTGGGGCCACCTTTCTCATTACCCAGAATGTGTCTCTAGGTGGAAAGTTGGTGTGATCATGTTGCTCACTTCATTTGTTTCTCTCTGTCAGGGATCAGGTCCTGTCCAAACCTGTTATTCCATCATGACTCCAAAGGAATTCCATATTTTTTGCCCCTGCTGATGTTATGGGGAATGAATACTCTCATACATTAATGATGAGAATGTAAATTTACTTTTTCAAAATTTGGCATAATCTGTTAATATAAAAAAGTACACATAATTTGATTTAGCAGTCTAATCTGTAGGAATATAGTCTATGGAAATAAAAAACAACATGCAAAAATAAGCATATAAGGATATTTATTGCACTGGTTTGCAGCAACAAAGAAATAACCTGAAAGGAATGGATAAAGAAGATGTGGTACATATATACAGTGGAATATTACTCAGCCATAAAAAACAAAATTGTGTCATTTGCAGAGATGGGAATGGACCTAGAGACTGTAATACTGAGTGAAGTTAAGTCAGAAAAACAAATATGGTATATTAATGCATATAAGTGGAATCTAGAAAGATGGTAAAGATGATCTTATTTGCAAAGCAGAAATAGAGACACAGATGTAGAGAACAAATGTATGGATACCAAGGGGGAAGTGCAGGTGGGATGAATTGGGAGATTGGGATAGATATATATACACTACTATGTATAAAATAGATAACTAATGAGAACCTATTGTATAGCACAGGGAATACTACTCGGTGCTCTGTGGTGAACTAGAAATGGGAAGGAAATCCAAAAAAGAGGGGATGTATGTATATGCATGGCTGATTCACTTTGCTGTATAGCAGAAACTGACACAGCAGTGTAAAGCAACTATACTCCAATAAACACACACACACACACACACACATACCATAAAACAAAAAACAAACAAAAAACCCCACAAATGACCATGAATTTAAAAATCTCCTGGTTGTACACTGCAAACAAACGAACAAAAAAGAAAAAGAAAGAAATTACCCGAATACCCAGCTTGGGGGGAATGGGTGGGATATATCATGGCATTGCTGTTACAATGTTCCTGTTTTATTGTAGGCATTTTTAATAAGAAAAGCAAGGTGCACAAGAGACATACCAACCAAATGCAATGTGCAGACCTCATTTAAATCCTACTCAAATAAACCAACTATAATTAATAAAATTTGTAAAATAAGTCAGCTGTTCAAGATACACACTGAAATATGTAGAGGGCAAATGACATAATATACTGGCTTGACTTTAAAATATCTTAGCCAAAAATATTTGGAAGATGAAACAAAAAAGGCAAAAAATGAGTGATTATTAAAAATATGTGGTAAGTTCATGGCTGTTCATTTTACTATTCTATTTTTGTATACATTTGAAATTTTCTACAATAAAAAGTTAAAAGAGGGACTTCCCTGGTGGTGCAGTGGATAAGACTCTGCGCTCCTAATGCAGGGGCCCGGGTTCAATCTCTGGTCAGGGAACTAGATCCCACATGCATGCTACAACTAAGAGTTTGCATGCCGCAACTAAGGAGCCCATGTGCCACAACTAAGGAGCCAGTGAGCCGCAACTAAGGAGCCCGCCTGCTGCAACTAAGGCCTGGTGCAACTAACTAAATATATATATATATATATATATATTTTAAAGTTTACACAAAATAAAGCAAGTTACAGATAAATGGGTACTTATCCCGTTAAAACATACTCTTATTACATTCAGATGTGGGCCATATTTGAAAAAAGAAGGAAACAACAAAAAATAAAAACCAAAGTTTTAACAGTAGATGGTTGGGAGATAGTGAAGGTGATTTATTTTTTAATTTTTTGCACTATTTCTCTGGTATGGCATAAACTTTAATATGGAATGTTGTAAGAGGAATGTGATGACTTTTGAAAATAATTATATGCATGTAAGGGAAATAAAGCTTAATTTTGAACAGTTATATGGTATCAATATATCTTAAAGTAGCAACTAAACCAGTACTGCAGCCATGGCTTCCATTTGTCTTTAATAATCCTTTGATTAGTGTACATTCCTATCCCCTCCCACTACCTTAAAAGGTAAACCCTAAGTTTTAAAATTTGATTTATGAAATAAACATAACAGTGCTGAGATAATTAGCATTCATTCAAGTTTCTCCTGTTAAACAATCTTGTAACAACAGCATCAAGAATAGAAACCTTACTAAATTGATCTAGATGACAGAGTAGGGAAACGATTGTGAAAATTTAAGCTAGAAGGATTGTCCCTGTATAGTTTAGTGACTGTAGAACAGAAAAGCATTATGCCACCCACTAAATTTAAATAACTGCAATTATGCCTTAAATTTCCTCTTATAAGTATTCCTTTTGGTCAAGAATAGATTTCTTGAAGTGTGTTCACAACACAAAATATTAAGTATTATGGAATAGAAGGGATTCATGGTCAGGACTGGGAAACAATGGGTTAAACAAAGGTAATATTTTCTTTATTGTGGGACTTCTTACAATTTTTTAATTTGGCTTGTTCAAAGTGGAATTCATTAAGCCAATAAGAAAATTTGGTCATGCATGGCCTTATATGCAATGAGGCAGAACACTTCTTCTCCAAAGGTATTTTGGAGATTATTATTATTATTATTTTTTTTTTTTTTTTTGTGGTACATGGGCCTCTCACTGTTGTGGCCTCTCCCGTTGCAGAGCACAGGCTCCAGATGCACAGGCTCAGCGGCCATGGCTCACGGGCCCAGCCGCTCCACAGCATGTGGGATCTTCCCGGACCAGGGCATGAACCCGTGTCCCCTGCATCAGCAGGTGGACGCTCAACCACTGCACCCCCAGGGAAGCCCCGATTATTATTTCTTGAATGTATCTTAGGAAAATCTGGTTCTGGGTATTTTCTGCAAAAGGCTGCTAACATGCATATATATTACTTGTCAGAGGTATTATCAATAACCTATTATCATTGTAGCATATAACATTCTACTTACATTCCATTATTTACATTTTCTTTAAATTTAGTTGGGCAATGACGGTAGTCCCTGAATTGTAAACAACTGACCAATGATGGCATAGTTTGTCTAATCTGAGTGGAGAATGCATGACTGCATTGGCATCACCGTGGTTACCCTAATGATTCAGAGTGTTCTAATGGTTCTCAATCACACTTATCTTTTCTGTTGTTGTTGTCTAAAAAATGGTGGATTAACATTTAGATTATAATTTTGTAATATATATGTAAAACCAGTATTTTTTAGAGTGGGGATAATGAATATTAAGTTGTGAAGACAACTAAGTGGGCTGCAGTGTTCATTACAGACTATGTAATAGAAAACAGCAGAGTGCCTCGCATATGGAAAAGTATTGTCTTGGGAAATTTTGTATCAATTCTTCTATCAATGTCTTTTATTTTACTTTTATTATTATTTTCTTTTATTTTACTAATTATTTATTTCCATTATGTACTAATACATTTCATTATATATCGTCATAGTATCTGTTCCTTGAAGTGTCGAAGAAAAACATAATTCATACTTTATAATGTTCAAAATAATTGCATGCACAAACATGTCTGCTAACTAGTTACTTGTTAACTGGGTTTTAAATGTTTTATATTATTCAGAAATCCCTGAGAGAATTCATGTAAGTGGTTTAACTTGAATTTAAATTATGTTTGGGAAAATTGGTTAGGGTACTTGAATGCATTGGAAACATTATTTTTCCCATTTGAAGTAATGGGATGTAGGTAGGCTCTGAAGTTTGGGCATCTGAAAATTTACTGTTCAACCAGTTATCAGGAATAGATTAGGTTCAGATAATGAGGAAAAAGTGTAGTTGGTAAATTTTGCTTTGATTTCTCATTTAAGACAATATTTTATAGGTTTTTTTTTTTAATGGCGTTAACTTGGCTATCATTTTGTTGGTAAATTCTTTTATCCTTAAAGTAGTAATTAGAAAATGTGGAATAATGACTTCTGCTTTTGTAATTTGTTGTAGAAAAATCACCTCTCCTTGATTTTATAAAAAAGCTCTACAACCGTAAAGAAATTTCTTCCATACAGTTTCTTTCCAGTATGAATTTTCTGGTGCAGCAAAATTTATGAGCTCTAAAATAGAGGCCTTCATACTCTTATTATGTTCTAAAGCTCTTGTCATAGAATAAATTATTTGGGTTCAAAAGGGGATAGATGGTAATAGAATGTTTACATCTTTCTACGGTACTTATAAAATATTCCTACCATTTGACTTCTCTAATAGCATTAATAATGATGATAATAATAATGATGATGATAATAATAATGATAATAACACTGAGTATCAGATACTGTCCAAAGGGAGTTACATGTGTTTAATCACTTACAATTTGATCATTATTATACCATTATAGTATTTTACACATAAAGAAATGGAGGCACAGAGAAGTTAAGTAACCTATCCAATTTCACAGTTAGGAAATATTAAAATAGAGATGGTGCTCAATAAAGGATATAATTCAGCATTACATTCCAGGGTTATAGAGATTTTTTAAAATGTTTAATGGGTTCCAGAAGTCATTTATTTCTGCATTCATGAAGTTAATATAAGCTTTCTAAAAATGAGTTGATTTTGAACACAATCAAAAGGATGTCCTATTTCATTACAAACATAATATGAGTTCTCTAATATTCCAGAGCTGCTGAAGATGGGTGAAGACTTTCTTATATTAAATCATATATAAAGCTTTCTCAATTATGAAGCCTCATATGTTGAATAAGTTTTGAATGACGTCTAAAGTCTTTACCACACTGTATGCATGCATAGGGTTGCTCACCAGTATGGATCCTTTGATGTAGAGTAAGTTCTGAGCCACGACTGAAGGCCTTCCCACATTCCTTACATTCATAGAGTTTCTCACCATTATGAGTTCTTAGATGTTCAGTAAGGTGTGAGCCACGAATAAAGGCCTTCCCACATTGCTTACATTCATAGGGTTTTTCACCTCTATGAATTCTCTGGTGTTCACTAAGTTGTGAGCCATAAATAAAAGCTTTGTCACATTCCTTACATTTGTAGGGTTTTTCACCTGTATGAATTCTCTGATGATATGTAAGTTGTGTGGTACGAAAAAAGGTCTTCCCACATTCCTTACATTCATAATGCTTCTCACCATGAATTTTCTCATGTTGAGTAAGATATGCACAACGAATAAAGGTCTTTCCACATTCCTTACATTCAAAGGGTTTCTCACCTGTATGAATTCTATGGTGTTCACTAAGTTGTTTGCCACAAATAAAGGCCTTTCCACATTCCTTACATTTGTAAGGTTTCTCACCTGTATGAATTCTCTGATGTTGAGTAAGATTAGAATTAGAAATAAAGGCTTTCCCACATTCTTTGCATTTATAGGGTCTCTCACCTGTATGAACTCTCAGATGATAAGTAAGTTGTGAGACACGAGAAAAGGCCTTTCCACATTCTTTACATTCATAGGGTTTCTCACCTGTGTGAATTCTCTGATGTTCATTAAGTTGAGAGGCACATAAAAAGGCCTTCCCACATTCTTTACATCTGTAAGGCTTTTCACCAGTATGAACTCTTTGATGATAAGTAAGGTGTGAACCAAGAATAAAAGCCTTTCCACATTCCTTACACTCATAGGGTTTCTCACCACTATGAATTCTTTGATGGTAAGTAAGCTGAGAGCCAAGAATAAAGGCCTTCCCACATTCCTTACATTCATAAGGTTTTTCACCACTATGAATTCTCTGATGGAGTGTATATTGTGAACAATAACTAAAGGCTTTTCCACATTTCTTACATTCATATGGTTTCTCTCCTGTATGAACTCTCTGATGTTCAGTGAGTTGTGAACCACGAATAAAGGCCTTCCCACATGCTTTACATTGATAAGGTTTCTCATTCGTATGAATTTTCTGATGTTGAATCAGATCAGAACTACGACCAAAGGCCTTTCCACATTCCATACACTCATAAGGTTTCTCACCATTCTGAATCCTCTGATGTTGAATATAGGTTGGCTTTTTGCTGAAGATCTTCCTACATTTCTTAACGTCAGAGTGTTTTTCTTTATTATGACTTTTCTCATGTTGAATAAGGCATGACAAGTAGCTGAAAGCTTGTTTACATTCCTTACATTTGTACAATTTTTCCTTGGTAGGATTTGTCTGATGAAGAATAGGGGACATGGAATGGCTTTGAGTGGCCTCTTCTTTACAGGTAATTTTCATGCGCATGTATGGTCTTTCCTGACTTCTCTGTTGATCCTCAAACTTGCCTTTGCACTCTGTATTTTCTCCAAGATCATTGCACTCAAGGTTATGGCTTATAGGTTTCCTCATATTCTCCCATTGCAGTGATTCCATTTCATAAGTTCCCTTTTCTGGACATGACCTTTTGGTCTCACAGCTGTATTCCAAGTCTGTAAAATAACAAGAAAGCAAATTCTTGCTGTTTTTGTTTGTAAGAAGAAATGAACTGTCTAAGGTAAAAATGGTAGATAAGGGCTTCCCTGGTGGCGCAGTTGTTGAGAGTCCGCCTGCCGATGCAGGGGACACGGGTTTGTGCCCTGGTCCGGGAAGATCCCACATGCCGTGAGCCATGGCCGCTGAGCCTGCGCGTCCGGAGCCTGTGCTCCGCAACGGGAGAGGCCGCAACAGTGAGAGGCCCGCGTACCGCAAAAAAAAAAAAGGTAGATAAAATTATAATTCTCATAAGAACAGAATGGCTTAAACGTTGCTAAAAATTTTGTGCAATTTAAAAAGAGGCACAAGGAGAGAACATAGAATGAGGGGAATTTATAGGGGGGAAATAATTAAGAAAACAGATTAAGTCAGTGGTTCTCAAACTTTGGAGTGGATTAGAATCACTAAGGAAGCTTATAAAATTACAACAAAAACACCCCTGGAAATAAACAAACAAATGCCTGGGTGGATAGCCAACCTATCAACAAATCCTATTAGCTCTCCTGTCAAAATTTATCAAATATCTGACCACATCCACTACAACCACATTAGGCCAAGCCACCCATCTCTCACTGTAATAGCCTCTTATCAAATTCTTATGCATTTTAGACTCCCTCACATGCTGTTCCATCTGCCAGGAATGCTCTCTGCAAGGCCAGTTCCTTTTCGTCTAAAACGTACTAACTTAAATGCCAGCTGCTCAGAAAGACTATCACTGAAAACTCTAACTGGGTCCATGCCATGTCTTTATTCTCTATATCTGCACCTTCTTCTTCATTCTTGTTTCAATCTTTGCAATTCTAGAATTACATTTTATTTATGTTGATCCTTCTATTCCTCAAGCTTCACAAGCGTAGGAAAAATATTCCTCTTTATAGCTATTCCCCAGAACACAGAAAGTAAACACAGTGTTTTCTTCTTCCCTTCATGTATTTTTTCAGGTCTTTCTTTCCAGTACCTTCTACTCAAGGCCAAATGTTCTCATATTTTCCAGAAAAGCATAAGGTTCTATAATGTTCTAGAAATAGTGACAACTTTATACACTAAAGAAAATTTTATGTTATTCTGAACAAAGTTGGGAGATGGGTGTAATTTTAAAAAGTAGAAGAACACTATCCACTGTGACTGGAGCCCCAGGCACACTCTGGAAACACTGCATATAGGCTGTAGAGTGTAATAGAGGATGGTAGTGGGAAAGAAAATAAACATATATTAGTAAATTCAAGTTCAAATGGTCTTTTAGAAATAAGAGTCAGAAATCTGAGGAAAACGTGCTTTTGCTAAAAAGCACAATGAAACTGTAATCTGTAAAGTACAATGAAACTGTAAACTGTAAAATACAATGAAACTGTAAACTGTAAAGTACAATGAAACTATAAACTGTAAAGTACAATGAAACTGCAAACTGTAAACAAAACCCCCCACACGGCTCAATTCAACACCAACTCGTCAGCAAAATGTACTGGGATGAGAGTATCTGGCTTTTACTTTCTGTCAGAGAAGCACAATATGGTTTACAAGACAGTAGGAAAGAAACCAACTGGAATATGGTGATTAACGGAACAGCGTAAGGGACCAGATAAATCCAGTTTAGACTCCAAACTGCTCTCCATGTTATAGTAACACGATAATAAAAATGGGAAGAAATATAAATCTAATGATTCTGGGGTGGGAAGCACTGTGAGACCACACAGGGTAAGGTGCTAAATGGCGACCTAGTGTGATAAAGAAAGTAAAGATAAGAATACCCAAGTCTTAAAACCATGCTGAGGTTGAGGAATATGTATGAAATGTATTCAAATAAGTAGTTCTTTTTATTGTCATTAAATCAATGCAAGAATAACTGGGAAAACTGCAAAAGGGGTGATGACTAAAGACAACAAAATGGAGTCTGAAAAGCAGAAGGCATATTGAAAGGCCCCTTTGACTCTTACCCCCTCGAGTCCTACTGAGTCTATCTCCTAAATAGCTCTTGAATCTGTTTCCTTATCCCCAACACCACTGCCAACACTCTGAGGATGCCCAAAGCAACTCTCATTTGAGCCACGACAATAACCTACTCAGTAACGTCATGAGAACCTTCCTTCTAATCTCCATCTGGCAGTCAGAGTAATATATTAAATGTGTAAATCACATTATGTCACTGTCCTATATAAGATTCTTCATAAGCTTGCAAATGCTTTTGGGATAAAATTCAAACTTGTTAGTAGCATCTTTCAAACTGCTTTTGACTGCAACCTCACAATAAGAAATGCATGTTATATTATCATGCATGTTATATTGTGAGTACACATGCACAAACATAAACAAGACAAATAGGTCATGAAATTTTCTTTTTTACATGTGATGCATTCTGATATTTTATGTTCTCTTCTGTGTTATTTTATTTATGAAACAAAACCAAACCAAAAAATAAAAACAAATGCTGCTCACATTCAATAAAGATGTTAAAAAACAAACCAACCAAAAACAAGTGCTGCTCACAGCCTACCAGGTCATTTCATAACCCCTAGAAGGTGCTGCCTGGCCTGGCTTCTGCCAGCTTCTCCAAACTCACACCTGGTACCTCTCCCTTACTAGGCTCCAACTACAAGGGTCTTCTTTGAATATCTCATATACACCAGGCTCTATCCTCTTATAGCCTTCAGTACATTGTTCCCTCTGCTAGGAATGCTCTTCCCTCTACCCTCAGCCTCCCTACTGGCTTTCCATCTTTTCAGGGCTCATCTGAAATTTCACAGACCTTTGCAATTCCTGAAAAGCCTTCCCCAAACCCAGACTTCTAGCAACACTGCACCTACAATTCTTTCTTCTATTAAGACAACCACTCCACTCACTGCAGCCTAAAAGAAAGGCCCCCATAGCTTTTGGTGCTGGTAAGACCTCCACATCCTGCTATTAAGGCTGGATTCTCCTGGAAGGTCTTGATTTCCATAAACTCTTAGTGTGGCAGTCCCATCACTCTTAGTTTGTAACAGAAATAAGCACCCACCTTCCCCAAAGAGACCACTCAGGACCAATCCTGTAATGCTTGACATCTCTGGGTATCCAATTACCTCTGAAAAGCTCTGGCTTCCTGGGTCCTTGGTCATCACTAGGACTCTCATCCCAATCCAGGTCTGGACATCCTCTTTTATGACCCAATGTTCTACTGCATGCTAACAAACAGACCTTCTGGAACTCATAGTGTACTTTCCAGAAGTACTCTAACTTCAGCCTCCCTTCTGATTATTCTCTTCACCTTCTTGCTCTGATTGAAACCTTGAGCACACTGCTTCCCCTGAAACACTGTTTTCCTTCACTTCTTTCCACCTACCCTCTCCCACAGTAGATATAATAGACCTTGTTGTTACCAATAATCACAACACCTCTAAAAGTTCAGTTTCGAGCAATCATCATTTTGACCACTACCACACATATTTCATTTACTCTTATACCATCTCTCTATTATTTATCTCCATCTTAAAGACTCTCCTTTGAAATCAAAACAAAACAACCTCTCCTTTGATTCTTTGGTTCACTTTGCAGCTCCTATCCATTTACTGTACTCCTTCCTGGCAAAACTTCTCAAAAGAGTTGTCTGTACTTCCTGTCTATACTTTTTATTTCCCTTTACTCCCACCCTCATAACTAACATTTTGCTGTATTTACTTCCAGGTTTTTTCCCTGCACTTTTATGTAGTTACATATACAAACTTGAATCAAACTTCTTTTTCCTCATTATTATATCATACTTCTTTTTCCTCACTATTATAATACTGTTATTTAAAACTTCTAAAGCATTTAAAAACTCTGTTTGTACCTTTGAGAGCTCCTCAAATGGGCCTTCCACACTGCCTGGTGAGTTAACTCACTATCCCACTGTAGTTTTTACTGTTGACTTATTTCTTCTTCATTCTCTTTTTAATCCTCTACAATCAGGTTTTTGCTCCTCTCATTTCCAAACCTACTTTGTCAGTGTCACCAATATCCTTCATCTTGCCAAATCCAATAGTCAGTTTTTAGCCTTCATCTTACTTGAGCTCTTAGCAGTATCTTTCACAGTTAACCACTCTCTCCTTGTGTTTGTCATGGCTTCCAGTACACTGAATTCCCAATTACTTCCTAGATCACAGGTTAATCAGGAAGCTCCTCAATTTCCTTTGCTGGATCATTTTCCTCTTCCCAGCTAAATGTTGGAATGCCCCATGGTTTAGCCCTTGGACTTTATTTACCTTGCTTTCCATCTAAACCAATCCCTCCATAATCTCATCTCATCCCATCATAAGAGATTAATCCTATATTTGTCTCTTCAGTCCTGACTACCCTCCTGCAGGCTTTCAAATGTGTGTCTAACTTCTCTATGGAGATATCTAATGGGCATCTCAAATGCCCATCTCAAAACTCTTAACTTCCATCTGCAGGCTTCCAAACTCGGATGCCTCTTTCTATTTCCAATCCTTCAGCAAGTCCTATTAATCCTACCATCAAAATACAACCAGAATATAACCCATTCTCATCACCTCCACATATTAAACCCCATTCCAAGCCACTATTATCTGTAATATAGACTCTTGAACCAGTCCTCTAACTGGTCTTTTGCTTCCATTCTTACCGTCTTCCTACACATAACACCCAGAGTGATCTTTAAACAATAATCCCCTAGTCATCTGCACAAAATCTCCAAGGGCTCCCTATCATACCTAGGATAAAACCTCACTCCTTGAAATGGCCCACAAGGCCTCATATGATCTGATCTCTGCCTATTTCTCTGACCTCATCTCTAATTTACACTTTCACTCACTCTGTTCTAGCCACATTGACCTTCTTGCTGATCCTCAAATAAAGGAAGCTCAGCCTCTCCTCAGGGCCTTTGCACTTCTGTTCTCTCTGCCTGAACACACACTTGCCTTATTTTTACACTGCTAATTTCCTTCCGGTCTCAGTTCAAACGTTACCTCCTCTGAGAGATCATCCCTGTCCATCCTAATCTAAGAACACAATAAGCTCTCAACAAACGTTTGCTGGTTGGAGATACCTAGCTAAATAAAAAAAAACAACTAGAAAAAAACTTAATCAAGAAATAGAAAAAAGGATTGTCTTGGAAGAAGCCAAAGGGAGTTTCCTCATTAAAGCAAAAGGGGGGGACATCCCTGGTGGCACAGTGGTTAAGAATCTGCCTGCCAATGCACGGGACATGGGTTTGAGCCCTGGTCCGGGAAGATCCCACATGCCGCAGAGTAACTAAGCCAGGGCGCCACAACTACAGAAGCCTGGGCGCCTAGAGCACGTGATCTGCAACAAGAGAAGCCACTGCAATGAGAAGCCTGCACACCACAATGAAGAGTAGCCCCCACTCACCGCAACTAGAGAAAGCCCGCGTGCAGCAACGAACACCCAACGCAGCCAAACATGATAAATAAATAAATAACTTAATTTTTTTAAAAGGGTGGGGTGAATGTAGGAGGAAGAGCAGTAAATAGGAGTTGGAAAGGAAGTTCCTTTGGGAGCTCATGTCGATATCACCTTCCTGCTCTCCCTAGGTCTCAGGTCTTCTTTCCACAGGCCTTTGAAGGGAGCTTCACACAAACATCGCAAAGTGTTGTCACTTCATAAAGCAGCTGTATTATTATCAGCAATAGCTGATCCTGTGTGGCCAGCTCTTATTCACCTGAGCTCCATCTTGTCATGGCTCTCACCACCATCCAGGGCTCCTTCCCTCGCTCCAATAAGGAAAACACGTCTGGCTTAGGGATCGAACATCCAGCTTAAAAGAAAAGAAACGGGACATGGTCATGGGATGAAGAGTCCCAGATTCAAATCCAGTCCATTGGTCATCAAAGAAGAGAAACTAACAGGAAGTGATGGAGGAAGATGTGAAAGTCCGAAGGGTGAGAAATAAAAAGGTACACAGTGGGGCTGTCTACTTCTACTTTTAAAAAACTCAAACGTTTCCTTAGGGAATAGAAATCAGAAATTCACAATGAAGGAGGCAGAAAGTATGGGAGACAAATTCTGAAAACTGTGTAAAATGATCTTACCCAGTGAGATCAGGTGGCTGTAGTTCTCCACCATGACCTCCCTGTACAAATCCCGCTGAATGGGGTCAAGGCATTCCCATTCCTCCTGAGAGAAGTTGATGGCCACATCCCTGAAAGTTACCAACCACTGAAACAACAAATCCATTTATTATTTGTGAAAATACGATGATGATTTTGAGGTGAAATGAGATAAGAAGGAGGAGGGCACTGAAGGAAGGGGGTGATATAATAAACAATATGCCATGGCCGAACACCTGTAACATTGAAGGAAATTGGGTGCCTGAACTGTAGTGTCAACATGATCCTTGATCACTGCTATTGCCACAGACAAAACTTCCTATGTATACTAGGACAATTCCATTATCCAGAAAGGTCTGGGAATACAAAAGGCCAGATGATTGCAGTTTCCCAATTGAATGAAATATTGTATGCAATCACACAGCACTTTAAGCTTTCTAATTCTCAATAAATAATAAATAAATTCTCAACTAATGGGTTCTTTCTGAAATTAACTTCTCTCTTTAAAGAAAAGGATAAACAAGATTGATGAAACCTTTCCAAACAATTTTTTAACAACTCTCTGGACTGGAACATAGAATTTGGATGTAACTTAGAATCTTTTTGAAGATTCAAGTTCATTAAGTCACTATATTATGTCACCAAATATAATGGACATACAGTATTTTCACTTTATGGATGTAATGATCTGCTTATTTGGGAGTATTTAAAACAAATTCTTTAATGTCTTTAGCTCTAGGAATCTAAAATTCTCAAAAGATTATACATCTGGCAGATTTTATTTGCTCCTACTTTCTGTGTTCCTAGGCTACAGCAGGCTGATGGATGCCAGTCTAGGTGCACACAGGCATCACTCTGACACATTCTGGCCAACTCCAAGGTAAGCCTTGCCTCTCATTGGTTTCTTGGTAAGAGGGATGTGGTAGGTAGACTAATGACCCCGCAAAGATGTCCATATCTTAACCCCCAGAACCTGTATGTTACCTTACATGGCAAATGGGACTTTGTAGATGTGATTAAATTAAGAATCTTGGGGAGATTATCCTGGATTTTCTGGTTGGGCCCAATGGGATCACAAGGGTATTTTAAGTGATAGAGGGAGGCAGAAGAGTCAAAGGAGATGTGATAATGAAAGCAGAGATCAGAATGATGTGATTGCTGGCTCTGAAAATGGAGGGGACCCTTGAGCCAAGGAATGTGAGCAGCCTCTAGCAGCTGGAAATGGAAGAAAATAGATTTTCCTCTGGAGCCTCCAGAAGGAACACAGACCTACCAACACCTTGATTTTAGCCCTATAAGACTGATTTCAGATTCTAACCTCCAGAAGTATGACAGTAGGTTTGTGTTTCAGTCACTAAGTTTGTAGTGATTTGTTACAGCAGCAACATGAAACTGTACAAGAGGCAAGATCTCTTTCTTCTCAGGACTCAGTTCCCCAACCAATTTCAAAGGCCTCACAAAAAAAATCTCACCACACACTGAGATTGGGAACAACCAGCAGAAATGCTGTCACTTCCAAGTGGAAAACCTAGGTTTGTAGAGATCAAAGTCTGTCACGTGTCTCATTTAACTACCTCACTAAACCACTGTGCTAATACTACTGTTAAGGGGAGATATTTCTGCTTCCTCAGGGCTCCTGGCAGAATACCCTCTGGTGCAGGGAAAAACACTTAGAGAAGAATGAAGCTCTTTGCTATGATCACTCACTGGAATGGGAGAAGTTTGGGAGCAGTTCCTTTACAGGACTAAGCAAGGCAGAAAATATGGGAATAAATATATCTGGTGTTCATATAACCCAACAAAATGATTGCACTTCAGGGAGGAAAGAAGAAACAGCAACTCACGTGAGGCATGGTTTTGAGAACTGTCAGAACTGATCAACTTTCTGGTTCCTCTCCTGGAGATGTGCAGAGTCCTAAGAGGAGAGCAGGGCTGGAGAAGGAAAACAAAGCCATGAGAACAAGCTTGCCTCAGAGCCCACAAAATGAGCACCTTGGAACTACCCTTATTTCCCCTCTTTGAGGGAAGTTTGGGAAAATCTCAGCCCTCTTACAAATCCAGTGGAATCCAGATAGAGCAGAGGGAATTCAGGCCAGACTTTTCCTTAATCCCCATGATGCTGAACAGGACCCCAGAGGGCGCCAGTTTCCATGGGCATCTTACATCTCTAGGATAGGGGAGTACCCAGGGAGCCCTGGGGAGCAGCGCTTCCCCAGGGCCCACATGCTAAGTGAGATGCTTCGCTCCCATGCTTAAAGGCTCAGGCCCACAAGACTGCTCCTGACTTCAGAAGCCAATCGCAAATCCCAGGCCACTGTACTTCTGACCAACCAGCTATAAATTGGGGGCTCCTACAATCCCCTCCTAAGGTTCTGTACTTTGCTAGGATGGCTCACAGAACTTAGGGAAACACTTCACTTATGTTTACCAATTTATTATAACGGATACAATTTAGGAGCAGATGCATGGAAAAGATGCATAGGGCAAGGTATGGTGGAGGGGGAGCTTGGAGATTCCAATGCTCTCTTTGGGACTGCCACCGTCAAAGCACCTCAAGGTGTTCACTAACCCAGAAGCTCATCAAATCTAGTTCGAGAGTTTTTATAGGGCTTAACCTCCAGTCCCACCCTCCCCTTTCCTGGAGGTCAGGTCAGTGGGTGGGTTGGAAAGTTCCAACCCTCTAATCATTTGGTCTTTCTGGTGATCAGCTCCATCCTGAAGCTATGTAGGGGCCACACTCCAAGCCACCTCATTAGCATAAATTCAGGTGTGATCAAAAGGGGTTCATTACGAATAACAAAAGACACTCCTATCACTCAGAAATTTGCTAAGTTAGGAAAACCAAACAGTTGATGAAAAGTTCTTATTTATAGAACTCCAGCTAAGAAATGCAGAAGGAATTGAGAGAATTTTTTTTAAAAATCACTATATGTAACCCTTAATAAAATAATAGATCTCAGCATCAATCATAAGTGGATGTTATAACCTCTATGTCAGTGTTTCTTACCCTTTTTTCATTATTAGTTCCCCCAAAGCCTTTTAAGACAACTTTTCTCCTGATACCACTTACCTATGAAATTTTAATACCACAGATATACTGTATATGTGTTTATGTACTGTGTCCACAAACCATTATAATATTTAGTAAGAGTTTGGTCCCCCTCCCTGCCAAGAACCAAGTTTCACCCCCGTGGGGGCAATACCCCTCCTTCTGCCATTGAGAATGTATGCTTTAGGTGAAAGAGGAAGAGGGCATTTTATAAAGGAAGAATTAAGTGGACAGCACTTGAACACCAATCAACATGGCATCACCAGAAGTGGGACACCAGACTTTAAAAAACCTCAGGATGTGATGTCACAGGAAGTACACAACATAACCTATGAATTATTTTTGCCTGAAAATGTGATTTAGGCAAAATATGACCTGAATCTGATCAAGGCTCTAGATCTAACTACCCCTTAACAGAAATATGTAGCATAGGGGAACTAATTATATGACACCACAAGGAAGAAATTAGCCAAAAGGAGAATGCACAATATTCTGTAAACAAATAACCTAGTTTTTCTACAAATCAATGGCAACAATTAAAGTAAAAACAGAAAATAGAGAAAACTGTTATGGATTAAAGAAACTTAAGAGATTTGACAGGGACTTCCCTGGCGGTCCAGTGATTAACACTCCACGCTTCCAGTGCAGGGGGCCCAGGGTTCGATCCCTGGTTGGGGAACTAAGATCCCACATGCCGGTCATCCAGAATAAAAATTTAAAAAAACTTTAATAAGAAAAGAGATTTGACAACCAAATGTGGACCTATCTGAATCATGATTTGAACAAACCAATTGTAAAAAAATCTATCTTCCAAAGAATTGGGGAAGTTTGAATATATACTGGGTATATGATATTATGGAATGACTTAGTTTTTAAAGTTGAGATAGCATCATGGTTATTATTTAAAAATATGTCCTTTTGGTTACATAAGCATACATGTGATTAAAATAACACTTTGAAATACTAAAGGAAAAAGGGGGATGGATAGGTATAAGGATATTTGCAAATGTGTTAAATTACGGCTGAGCGTTGGGCACACTGGGGTCGTATTATTTTCTACCCTGCTTGAAAATTTCCATACAAAGTTAAAACAAAAGTCCACATTTTCTCCAGAAAGTATAGTTATCTTTCATCAAAAATCTTAGACCAGAAAGGGCTGATTTGTCATCAGGTGGAAAAGGAGAGGTAAAGATGTGGTTGGTGAGTAGAGTAGACTGGTGAGGCCATCCCTGGAGCGCCAAGATTCACAGGGATAGCAATGCCTAAGGACAGTCACTGGTTTCTCCTAAGGTTTCTCCTTAGGGAGATGTTGCAGGAGGTAGCAGCATCTTGAAAAGAAGAAACTCGAGAGAAGAAAGAAAATGGCAACATACTTTAGAAGAGACTTTTAGCTGTGCAATATTTTTTTCCTTTCCTCTGTATGCTTCTGTTGGAAAGAGTAGAACAGAGAAAAAAGAATCAAAGGATATCAAGCCTTTCCCAGAGCCGACCAAACAGTTTAGGACCAATTCCCACAACAACTTCAGGCTGAGAGAGGGATCAGTTTTTCCCCATAGGGCTCTCAAAGTAGAATGGGGCATCCTGTTAGGGTGGTCTTCTGCCTTCCCGGGGCATAAACTCTCATTGTAGGGGCATCTTCAGAATAGCCTCGTTCTCTGTAAAGTGGAGGAACTGCGGCACCTGGAACCGCGCGATTCTCAACTGGCGAGACTCTGTCCCTGTCTTACGGCGGGAGAGTACACAGTCACTAAAGGGGCACAGCAGCCAAGTGCGTTAGAAGGCGGCAGGTGAGCCCGTCACGCTGCCACAAAAGCGCGCGCACACTCACACACCCAGCACTGTGGAACGTTCATGATAACATCTCCCTGCTCCCGTTGGCCGGGAACCAAAGTCACAGCGCCGCTTTTGCCGGAGGAGAGCGACGCCAAGTGCACACTCATACCTGCGGCGCAGAGGAACACAGCTGATAGCACCACGCCTCCGCCGCTAGGAACCGAAGTGACGGGGCCGACGACCAGCGGGGAAGGGCACAGCCACTCCGCACTGGCAAGGCCGACTTCCGTAAGGAACTAACCTGAGTGCTACGAAGTTGGAGATGTGTAGTCCACAGCCAGGATCGTCTCGATTCCTGTCAGCACCGAGCCCCAGCCGGCATACCAGTATTCCCAGCACCTTTCAGGAACTTCCTTCTGGACGCTCCAACCCAAAGGCGGCGTGCGGGTCCCAGCGAGGTAGTGCACTCACCTACCGCTACAGGCTGGATCCTTAAACCAAGGAGTAACGGAGTAAGTGTACGAAATGGCGCAGGGACGCGGTGGCCTCCGGGAAATGTAGTCTTAAACATGAACCCGGCCCGATACAACAGAATCCAGAGGCAGTTGGCCACGTCCTGTGGTCCGGAATCGGGCGCGCCTCGGGGCTCGCTCGCTTGAACTCGGGAACTCACGCTGCTGCGGTGTGAGCCGAACTATTTCATTTTACTCAAGTGACTTCCCAGAGGTTCTAGAAAATCGCAAAGAGGTTACCAGAGCTTGAGTCTTGCAGTGATGCCTTCAAAGAAATATAGTCCAGGGCTGAAAAACCTGCAGAAGTCTAGGAAGCAGGGTCCAGATTTCTTAGACAGAGCTCTGGCCCGGACGAGGTGACGGTGACTACCGGGCTGCTGCTCAAAGCGGTTCAGGGGTGTGATGCTTACTTCATGGTCGTGTGTGTGTGTGTGTGTGTGTGTGTGTGTGTGTGTGCGCGCGCGCGCCCGCGCAAGGGAAGACTGTGGGGAGTGTGATGTGTGTCAGATTGTGCTTGAGACTGTGAGGAATGTTAGTGGATAAGCATGTGACCCATTTGGGACTGTGTTAAATGTCTGGGGATGGTTGTAACTATAGCTTTCAGGATGATGTATGGGATTAATCAGACAGTCTATGACTAAGTATTTTATAACTTGTAAGAAAATCCTTTTTTTTTTTGCATGGTTGTGAATTTAGAATAGATTCCATGGAATTATAGAAATGTTAAGTGAAAGATACCTTGAGAGTTCACCTGTAGTAGTGAATGTGGGAAAAGAAATGTGTGAGCATAGCATTGTGAGAGTGGGTATGATTGTCTCATGATGCAGCTCTGTGTAACAGTGGTATCTTTAAGCTTCAGTTTCCTCACCTGTAAAATGAGGTTAACATTCGTGTAACATTTGGAGCAGTGCTGTCCAATAGATATTTCTGCAGAAGTGGATTCCATGTCCAATGTCTGTGCTGTCCAATACCATAGCCCTGGCCACATTTGGCTATTGAGCACCTGAAATGAGACTAGTTTGACTGAGGAGCTAAATTTTTTATTTTGTGTAATTTTAATAAATTTATATTTAAATAGCTATATGTGGCTAGCTAAATTTGACAGCGCAGTCTGAAGTATCAATTTGCCTTCAAGATTTGGTGGGGGAGAAACTTAAGTAATTTCATCTAGCAAATAATTTGAAAAATGAGTTTTACATTGAAATGAAGAGAGATGAAAAATGCAAATTCAGCTTTAGTCTTTATTTTGGGGGGAATAATTTGCATAGAGTCCACAAATATTACTATATACCGCAATGATTTTTTTTACATACCACACACAGATCAAGATAAAGAATATTTCGGGAATTCCCTGGTGGTGCAGCGGTTAAGAATCTGCCTTCCTTCCAATGCAGGGAACACGGGGAAGATCCCACATGCCACGGAGCAACTAAGCCCGTGTGCCACAACTACTGAGCCCGCAGTGCTACAACGACTAAAGCCCGGGCGCCTAGAGCCCATGCTCCGCAACAAAGAGAAGCCACCGCAATGAGAAGCCCCCACACAGCAACGAAGAGTAGCCCCAGCTCTCCGCAACTAGAGAAAGCCTGCGCGCAGCAACAAAGACCCAACTCAGCCAAAAATTAATTAATTAATTAAAATAAATAAATAAAATAAAAGGTAAAGAACATTTCAAGGACGCCAGAGTGTTCCCTTGTGCCCCATCCTGGTCAGCTCTGACTCCACCTAGAAGCGACCACTTTTTGGACTTCTAGCACTATAGATTAGTTTTGTGAATTCTTGAACTTCATTTAAATACAATCAGTGTAATGATATGTGTCTGGCATGTTTTTTAAAAAAAATATTTATGCATGCTGTGCCGGGTCTTAGTTGCGGCATATGGGATCTTTAGCTGCAGCATGCGAATCTTAGTTGCAGCATGCATGCAGGCTCTAGTTACCTGACCAGGGGATGAACCCTGGCCCCCTGCATTGGGAGCTTAGTCTTACCCACTGAACCACCAGGGAAGTCCTGTGTCTGGCATGTTTTTAATCAACATTATGGCTCTGAGATGAGTCCTTGTTATGGAGTATAGGAATAATACCTGTAGCCAGCTAGTAAATATTTTAGGTTTTGTGTGCCAGATGTTCTCTGTCACAACTGCTCAACTCTGCCAGTGTAGCATGAAAGCAACCATAGACAACATGTAAACAAATGAGTGTGGCTATATTCTGGTAAAACTTTACAGACACTGAAATTTGAATTTCATATAATTCTTACATGTTGCAAAACGCTATTCTTATTTTTATTTTTTTTACATCATTTAAAAATGCAAAACCTTTTTTAGGTCGTTGGCCATACAAGAATAGGTGAAAGGCCATATTTTGTCCGTAGGCTGCAGTTTTCCGATTCTTACTATGATTTATTCATTCTATATTAACAGACATTTGTGTGATTTCCAGTTTTTTCTTACTATGAATAAATCTGCCATGATCAATCTTAAAATATTTTTTGGTAGACATAGCATTCATTTCTATTAGGAATCCAAGAGTGGAATAGCTGGATCATAAAGTAGGTCTACATTTATATGTGTAGGTACTGTCAAACGATTTCCCAAAGTCTTTGTGTTAGTTTACACATATGTCAGCAATGTAAAGGATTCCAGCCTCTTGAACACTTGGTGTTGTTAGTCTTTTTAAACTTTTACAATACTAGTAGGTAGGTAGTAGTATCTCAGTGTGATTTTAATCTGCATTTCCCTGATTAATACTCACTTTAGCATCCTTTCATATATCAACCATTTGGATAACCTCTCTGTTGAACTGCCTAACTCTTGACCATTTCATTAAAGTCAGTTTGTGGGGGTTTTTTTTCTATTTATTTATAGCTATTTGTATATGCTGGGATATGAGGCCTTTTGTAGGATATATTTATTGTAGATATCTTTCCCAGGATATGGCTTGCCTTTCACTCTGATAATGAAATCTTTTTTTTAACATCTTTATTGGAGTATAATTGCTTTACAATGGTGTGTTAGTTTCTGCTTTATAACAAAGTAAATCAGCTATACATATACATATATCCCCATATCTCCTCCCTCTTGCATCTCCCTCTCACCCTACCTATCCCACCCCTCTAGGTGGTCACAGAGCACCAAGCTGATCTTCCTGTGCTATGCAGCTGCTTCCCACTAGCTATCTATCTTACATTTGGTAGTATATATATGTCCATGCCACTCTCTCACTTCATCCCAGCTTACCCTTCCCCCTCCCTGTGTCCTCAAGTCCATTCTCTACATGTGCATCTTTATTCCTGTCCTGCCCCTAGGTTCTTCAACCATTTTTTTTTTTTTTAGATTCCACATATATGTGTTAGCATACGGTATTTGTTTTTCTCTTTCTGACTTACTTCAGTCTGTATGACAGACTCTAGGTCCATCCACCTCACTACAAATAACCCAATTACGTTTCTTTTTATGGATGACTAATATTCCATTGTATATATGTGCCACATCTTCTTTATCTATTCATCTGTCGATGGACACTTAGGTTGCTTCCATGTCCTGGCTATTTTAGTGCTGCAATGAACATTGGGGTACATGACTCTTTTTGAATTATGGTTCTCTCAGGGTGTATGTCCAGTAGTGGGATTGCTGGGTCATATGGTAGTTCTATTTGTAGTTTTTTAAGGAAACTCCATACTGTTCTCCATAGTGGCTGTATCAATTTACATTCCCACCAACAGTGCAAGAGGGTTCCCTTTTCTCCACACCCTATCCAGCATTTATTGTTTCTAGATTTTTTGATGATGGCCATTCTGACTGGTATGAGGGGATACCTCATTGTAGTTTTGATTTGCTTTTCTCTAATGATTAGTGATGTTGAGCGTCATGTGTTTGTTGGTAATCTGTATACCTTCTTTGAAGAGTTGTCTATTTAGGTCTTCTGCCCATTTTTGGATTGGGTTGTTTCTTTTTTTGATATTGAGTTGCATGAGCTGCTTGTAAATTTTGGAGGTTGATCCTTTCAGTTGCTTCATTTGCAAATATTTTCTCCCATTCTCAGTGTTTCGTCTTGTTTATGGTTTCCTTTGTTGTGCAAAAGCTTTTAACTTTCATTAGGTCCCATTTGTTTATTTTTGTTTTTATTTCCATTTCTCTAGGAGGTGGGTCAAAAAGGATGTTGCTGTGATTTATGTCATAGAGTGTTCTGCCTATGTTTTCCTCTAAGAGTTTTATAGTGTCTGGCCTTACATTTAGGTGTTTAATCCATTTTGAGTTTATTTTTGTGTATGGTGTTAGGGAGTGTTCTAATTTCATTCTTTTACATGTAGCTGTCCAGTTTTCCCAGCACCACTTATTGAAGAGGCTGTCTTTTCTCCATTGTTATATTATTGCCTCCTTTATCAAAAATAAGATGACCATATGTGTGTGGGTTTATCTCTGGGCTTTCTATCCTGTTCCATTGATTTATATTTCTGTTTTTGTGCCAGTACAGGCCCAGCCGCTCCGCGGCATGTGGGACCCTCCCAGACCGGGGCATGAACCTGTGTCCCCTGCATCGGCAGGCAGACTCTCAACCACTGAGCCACCAGGAAAGCCCTTTTTGGGTTTTTTTGGCTGCATTCGGTCTTCATTGCCGCGTGTGGGCTTTCTCCAGTTGCGGCAAGTGGGGGCTACTCTTTGTTGTGGTGCACGGGCTTCTCATTGCAGTGGCTTATCTTGTTGCAGAGCACGGGCTCTAGGTGCGCAGGCTTTAGTAGTTGCAGCACGCGTGCCCAGTAGCTGCAGTGCACAGGCTTCAGTAGCTGTGGCGCGGGCTCTAGGGTGGGCTTCAGTAGTTGTGGCTTGTGTGCTCTAGAGCATAGGCTCAGTAGTTGTGGTGCACGGGCTTAGTTGCTCCAACGCATATGGGATCTTCCTGGAACAGGGATTGAACCTGTGTCCCCTGTGTTGGCAGGCAGATTCTTAACC